AAACAAATCAGCCATATTCCGCTAGATTCAGCCGTTAGCATTTACATTTTAAGTTATTCAGCTAGATTCCACAAAAAATATCAAAAATTCAGCCAAATTTCGTTGTTACCATTTACACCCACTATATAATAATTAATAAATGATCCTCTTTCTTTTATTTTATTACCAAATTACTAATATGTAACTATAATTATAATTTGAGAAATTTCAAAAATACCACTTTTCAAGTGCTATTTTACAAAAATGCCACATTTTTGAAATTTTTACAAAAATGCCACTTTTTCAAAATTATTTTTTTTATATTATTTATATTTGAGTTAATTATGTTCTATTAGGGTTTAGTTTTGAGTGTTTAGGGGTTTTAGGTGTCAAAACATTTTTTAGGGTTTAGAATTTTAAGATATAGGCTTTATAAATCTATAATTAGTGGTATTTTTGTAAATAGACATCCCTAAATAGCATTCTTGCAAATGTACATAAAAATGGTCTATTGGTCTTGTCCGAAGAAAAGAGGCCGTACCTTACGTAGGTGGCTGGCTATCTAAAGAATGACAATTATGATACGCAACTCTTTCCAAATACAAAGGTAGAAAAAAATAAAAAACAAATATTGCTCTCGTTGAGAGTTGAACTCAAGACCTCCCGCTTACTAAACGGGTGCTCTAACCAACTGAGCTACGAGAGCTGCATGTTATCGTCATTCTTCATATAAAATAAATAATAAAAACAAACATATCGTCAACAAAAAGTATTTATATTTTCAGTAAACACATCTAAACTACATTAAACTACATTAAACATTAAAGCTGGATTTCTCCTCTTCAAAATCTTGTATACTTATAAATCATACTAACAATCCTCCACAAATAATAAAACAAATGTACTATCACTGTCTGTACAAATTCTCCTTTTCTCTTCAAACAAAAGTAGTTGAAAAAATGTTTCACTTTTGCTATATATCACTTTGGTATTTATTAGCTTCAGAGTTTAGAAATGATTATCATCTCCCAGCCAAACCGTTATGTGATACAAAGTGTCTAAAGTCCGGTAGAATCACCTTCAACTGCCTGAGCCACTCTTCAGCTGCTCGTAGCAGCGTCCCGACTCTCTGGTTCTCGTCCACGTCAGTCTCGGGGCACCACATTGACAGTTTAAACTTGTAAGATGCAAGACCGAAAGTGGGCAGTTGAAGCTTCGATGGTGCAACCGATTTGCTTGAGCTTTGACCTTCCTCACTGCCTGTACCGTACCAAATAACGTAAGTTTGGTTTGTGAAGTTCTATAATAAGCCGTTTTTAGAATATGTTCTATGTACATAATGCAGAGATGGCTTACCTCGAGAGGGTGTTGATAAGGAGTGGAATGTTAAAAAGCAAGCGTCGAGGTTTTGTAATGATTGACCTAATGGTATTCGGTATATTGGGTACCTTCAAGAACGTAAA